TATTTTTTATTTAACTTTTTTTATTAATTATTTTTATTTATTCATAAAGCAACAAATTTTCAGCTTCCACATCTATTGGAGTGAAAGAATGCTTCCATTCTGTACGAAGACTACTTATATAAGGATCTGACGAGATCAGAAGTTTATTGATAATGTCCTCGTTTGTTACGAATCTGTTATGTTTTCTGGTATTAAATTGTCTGAAGTGCTTAAAATCTTTATTGCGTGCCTCTTGGGCTTCTTCGAACAAGTCTCCTATTGGAATTATAAGTGATTCGATAATACTTTTTCCGTGTATTAAAATTTTATGAACTGATGCTGGCATATAATACCAACCGTATAATTCCACATAAATTTGTGCAGTCTCTGAAGCATATTTGCCAAATTTATTAGCATCTATTTTTTCCCCACAAGCAAGTGCTTGAAGAATTATACCGAATCTTCTAATCAATTGTTCATTAATGCCAGTAATGCTCGAAGTAGTCTCAGGATCTCTGAAGAACCTTCTGGCAGTATTCTCGTTATTACTTGTTTCAGTTCCTTCCAGTTCCAGTTCCAACGATGTTCTAACTCGCTAGCCAATATACAATATTCAAGTATCGAACACATTCATCGTGTACAGTAGTTCACGAATACACATATGCGCAAGAGAAATTAGCTAAAAAACGACACATGTCTTATTATGCTTAAGAGACCGCACAACTTTATGTGGACACATAAAGAGCATCGCGCATCTTATGTTTCGAGCGTTCACTCGAGATAAAAGACAAAGAGAAGGCAAATGTTATTCACGTTCTGCCCTCGCGCATTATAGTTCACGAATAAAACGACACTTTTCCTCTAGCGTTTTGTTGAAGTCTGAAAGACTTCTATCGTGCTATCATCGTGCATGTACGTTGATACTCGGCGACTCTCTCTATTATTTCTTAGGGTGAAACGATTTAGCTGCTACTATAAATCTGCATCGGAAACATTGTTTCTTATTTCATAACATATATTATTGTTCTTTGGTTTGGTTTCAGCTTAGTATATTAGTATTTTAGTATTAGTAGTATTAAGTTCAAAATTTTAAATAATTGTATGACAAAATTATAATTTGTCGATTTGTACTCATTTTCTTTAGCCCAAGTTTTGCTGTATTTAATAAAAAAATGGAAGTAAAAATAGAGGATATTAAAATACAGAATAAAGTAGTCTGTGATGTTATATTAGATGGCAATGAAAGAAATGTTCACAAAATTTATAATTATTTTCAATGTAACTATAATCTCAATAATGTTGAATTTTATAAGCTGAAAAAATATATTTCTACATCTTTCATGCCTCTCTTCGAACAAAAATTTAAACACGCTTTTTACAATAAACGTCGATTTCAAGCGCAACATCAAAAGTGGTTAGATAGTACATTCAATGTTACAGAATTGAAACGAGGGAGGAAATCAGTTGGATATAATAACAATTCTTCTCGATCTTCAAAATGGCGAAGAATCAATGATATAAGGCAAACCTATTATCATGCTGAAATTCAACAGGCTTTCTTAACGAGTTTACGTACTAATGGAAATTCCAAATTAGCAAATGAAATTAATACATTACTGTCTTCGAATAACAAAGAAATGTACGAAGAACCAACTGAAAATAGCAAAGAACAGGATGAAATTTTAGCTTTAATTCAAGATACTAAATTAACCAAATATCAATATGAAACACTTCGTTTTTATGCTCTATCGAAAAATGTTAACATTTTTTCTTCCTATAAAAAATTATCTGAAGCAAAAATACTCTGTTATCCATTACAATCAGCATTAGAGATTGAAGAAAAAGGTGCAGAAATAGATTTGCAACATTTACTTAATCATACCATTAATCGGATAATAAAAATACCAAGTGTTACGTTACCTCAAATACCTCAAAACGAGAAAAATTCTTTACGTTTTACAGCTAAATGGGGATGTGATGGAGCATCTGGACATAGTAAATACAATCAAAACTTTTCTGATGAAGCATTGTCAGATGAAAGCATATTCATGATATCAATGGTTCCATTAAAATTAGAAGCTAAAACTTTGTTTGGTTGGGAAGTTGTTTGGAAAAATACTCGTCCTTCATCAACCAAGTTTTGCAGACCAATAAAATTTGAATATGCTTCCGAAACTCCGGAAAAAATAAGAAATGAGGTAAACAAAATTAACGATAAAATTAAAAGTCTTGTTCCTACTATATTAGAAACAGATAATGGCATTTATGAAGTGTTTCATGAATTGTTTCTTACTATGATCGATGGAAAAGTTTGTCAAGCATTGACTTTTACTCCTTCCTCGTCAAATTGCGTAATTTGCGGTGCAAAACCATCGGAAATGAACAAATTAGATATAAAGAAAGTAGAAAAGGTTGAAAATTTTCAATATGGCATGTCAACACTTCATGCATGGATACGTTTTATGGAATGTATTTTACATTTAGCGTATCATTTACCTTTTCGCAAATGGTCAGCCAGAAATGAGGAAGATAAAGCCATAATGAAACAAACTAAAATCCGAATACAAGAACAATTTAAAACAAAGATGGCTTTGTATATAGATGTTCCAAAACAAGGAACTGGAACAGGTAATAACGGGAATACTGCCAGAAGGTTCTTCAGAGATCCTGAGACTACTTCGAGCATTACTGGCATTAATGAACAATTGATTAGAAGATTCGGTATAATTCTTCAAGCACTTGCTTGTGGGGAAAAAATAGATGCTAATAAATTTGGCAAATATGCTTCAGAGACTGCACAAATTTATGTGGAATTATACGGTTGGTATTATATGCCAGCATCAATTCATAAAATTTTAATACACGGAAAAAGTATTATCGAATCACTTATAATTCCAATAGGAGACTTGTTCGAAGAAGCCCAAGAGGCACGCAATAAAGATTTTAAGCACTTCAGACAATTTAATACCAGAAAACATAACAGATTCGTAACAAACGAGGACATTATCAATAAACTTCTGATCTCGTCAGATCCTTATATAAGTAGTCTTCGTACAGAATGGAAGCATTCTTTCACTCCAATAGATGTGGAAGCTGAAAATTTGTTGCTTTATGAATAAATAAAAATAATTAATAAAAAAAGTTAAATAAAAAATATATTCAATAAATAATAAATAATGTAAAAAATAAATAATAAATAATATAAAAAATAAATAACAAAAAAGTATATAAAATATAAAAAAATAAATAAAAAAATTAGTGTTGTTCAATACAGTTTTATTTATTAAAAACTAGATCTGGAATAATTTCAATTAATTTTGTTCGTTTAGGTAAGATTAGTGATTATGTTAGTTTCTATAGCTCTCTAAACTATTTTAAGATTCGACTGTTATCAATATTTGATGTTACATATAATATTAAATGTCATTAAACGAGTTATTGTCTGGTTGAAAATTTTCTAACCCCTTTATGTACAATTTAATAAAAAAGAGAAGCAAAAAATTAATATCTGGCTAGACAGATCTGTTCCAAATTTAATTAGCTTTCATTTAAAAAAAATTGATCAAAATCGGTTCAAATTTGGAGACTGTAGCCTTTTTTGAAACACGAAATTTCATTCGGCCCCACTGTGCGCCGCCACCGCCGCCAGGATGTCTATTGTAAAAAGCGAACGAAAGAAAACATAAATAATCGCGTTCAAATGAGACAGGGAGGTGAAGGAAGAAGAAGAAGAATAAGTAGATAAATAATTTTTTACTTACTGCGGCACACTCCCCCGGTTGATTTAATCAACCTCCTCCAATTCAGCCGCCAACTCCTCATACAGGTTGACGAGGAGGTAGAATAGCTCCGCCTCGTCGTCCACCTGCATGAGATGCAGGCCAAAACGGATGAGGTCGTCGAGGTCGATCTGATCGACGTCAATCATCGGGAAGGGGGGAGGATCATCCTCCTCGTCGACGTTCTCCTCCTCGTCAACGTCCCCCTCGTTGGTATCGGTGGCATCGACGTCCTCCTCGTCGTTGCCACCGTTGTCGTCAACGTCCTCCTCGTCATCATCGCTGTCGCCGTTGTCTTCTTCCTCCACAACAACCGCCACCACCTCCTCCTCTTCCTCGTTATCAAAGTATATTTTTTTTATCGGCTCCAGCTGCTTCATTTTTTTTTTGCAAGTACTTACACAAACACGTACTTAGTAACAAGAATTTAATTAATGGCACCCCGTCTCCAAATAGTGAAATTGTAAAACCGTATAAAAATATTAAAACAAAAAGCTTTATCCACTGTGCGTCGTCACGCTGGACGAACTGACATACAGTGTGCCAGACAAAGGAATACTGACGCTGAAAAGCATTCTTCGCTAGGGCCAAGCCTATGATTGGCCCATAGGCAATTAATTTGGTGAAAAATGATCTGACACTTGAAGAGGCTCTGCGATAAGTAGAGCTGTTTGTGTAAACAGAGCGATAGCGCGTAGAGGCATAGGATTCATCGAGCACACATTCGTAGGAGAGTAAAGAAAGTACGCATAAAATAATGGAGACAATGAATATTTATTCGTATATTTTTTTTTTACATAGTAATTTTTTTTTTACGCAGTAATTTTTTATTACGTATTAAAAACTAAAGCGAGGAGCTCGCAATCGACGAGCTGGCGTTTGTCGAAGACAGCTGTCGTTTGTCGAAGATATCGCTCTCGTGTATAGCGTTCGCGACGTTGGAGAAGCGCGTATACTTGGCATCGACCGTATCAACGAGTCGGGCTAATCGTTCAAACGTAACGTCGATGCATCCGTCGAGATCGAACATTCGGCGCAGCGTCGATTCGATCATCGTCATGTGTACGGTCGAAGATTCGAGTCGTACGAGCGTAACGTCGTTATGCGTGCAGATTCTGATCGTTAGCGGTCCAACGTTTATAAAATTGTCCTTGTACTCGTTCCGCAGCAATGTGTAGATATTCCATCGCTGCTCGTAGAGACTTTTCCACGTTTCGAGAGACAACGACAGTTCGCGTCCGCGATGGTCTCCCAGAACGATCTCCACGTAACTCGGTGGATCAACGTTGATTGCAATTTCCAAAAACTTGTAGCCAGTAGCGGTCAGGTCGTATCGTCGACTCAGTATACGCACCGCGCGACGCTTTATCCTG